ATAACTTTATTTTTGGGAAACTTGTTATCAAAGTTTATTGTAGATATTAATTGTTGACCCCTATTTTTAGGGTGTTTTGAAAAGAAGAAGATGAGGATTATGAGCTTTTTAGGGATGCAGTGTTCATGGAGATTGAGTGAAGAGAGGTGCCATCGAAGATAAATCCATCTCTTTAGGGCAAATTCGACTAGTATAGGTGCTTGCGATGCAACCATATTATTATTTCTCCAACTACAATTAGGATGATCTCGCTATCCTGGATTATACATGTTAGAGTATGGGTTAGAGAATGTCTGCCTAGGTTAATTCATGGCATTGAATTGTTCATGAAACACTTCCTTAAATGATGGAATGGTCGGGCACTCAGTCGTGGAATGCTCAATTGTATCATATATAGAGTACGACTTATTAACCTTGGACACACTGGCTACCTTATTTACTTTTTGCACTTTTCATTTTACAGGATAATTTTGTCATCTTGGCATGTGATTCATCTTGGTGTCGTAATATATATTTTTCACCCCCAGTGGGTTGAGATGCAGTAGATGACTTTGATCTCATGGTAGGATCGAAAATATCTCAAGATCGAGAATTCTCTGCCAAGTTATCAAAATAATCTAAGGCTTTGTTAGGATTCTTATTAAGAAATTTGTCATTACACATCATGTCTATGAACTGGTGATGTGTAGGGGTAATTCATTCGTAGAAGAAACTAACAAATTGTCATGGTTCAAATCTATGACGTGGAACATAGTCAAAAGGTCCTTAAATCTTTGCCAACAATCATAAAACTATTCATTTTTTTTTTTTGAAAAATTTTGAAGTTATTTTTTCAAAGCAGTAGTTCTATGTACTCAAAAAAATTTATTCAGAAATTCTTTTTATATATTGGACGATGAAGCTATTGATCGGGGTTTTAAAGAATTTAACCAAAATTTTGCTTTATCCTTTAGGGAAATGGGAAATAACTTCATCCTAGTGATTTTCTCTAGTACTTTTTGATCGAGTGATGTACTATCTACTTCTTCAAATTCCTTGATGTAAAGATAAGTTTTTTTTTCTATCCACACAATGAAATTGGAGTTATAATTGGAGCATACCCGGCTTAAAAATTAATTTCATGTGTTTGTACGGAGAAAAGTATGTAAGATGATGCAGTGGTTCTTGTGGGTTGGAGATAATCTCTCATCGTTCACATGATAAGAACAATTGTGAAATTATTTTCACCATTTCTCGGATTTTGCGAATTGTCATTATTCACCTTGTCCGCGTTCATGTTTTGTCTTGGTCACACCTAACAAGTTTATTATTCATATTATAACTTGCTCACATGCACAACTATAATCCTATAAAACAAAAGAAAAATTTACAAGTAATTTACAATAGAAAAGCGTACTTGGGTCAGTGATAAAAATCACAAGACTTACTTACCGTTGATTCGAATTACCTTTCAAATTTGTATTGCTTGCTTCTCCAACAATGGGGCTAAAAATGCTTGTTCTCTAATATAGTTTTTCTAAAAAAAATCTTCCCAAGTGTAAGAAAATTTATTATGTATTAACTCAAAAAATACTAAGGTCGTCTCCACAGGAAAGTTATCTTTGTTAGGAAAAAAACATAAATTTTTTTTCTAAGTGTTAAGACATACCACTAATTAAGAGCTTAAAGACAAAAGATGCAAATTTTATCGTTGAACCAAAAGGGGAATACATGTCTCATGAACAAAAACAAGATTACACGAACCAACAATCTGAATTTCAAGGAGGAACAGAGGAGCTTGAAGCCACAAAATGATGGGAATAAAGCTTAGAAGAAAGAGGGACTCCAGCTTTTCGCCAGGCCTCATCCCGTCCCCTCTTGAAGTGGACCTTCTCAATTATTTCCAATTGCTTTGCCAACTTGTCCTCGGCCTTCTCCATCCATCTTTATAGGCTTTGTCCTCCTTTGCCTTGCAGTTGGCTTGAAGCCCTCAAATTCCTCGAGGAGTGTAGCATGATCCTCTTGAAGCTGTGAGAGATCATGGGAAGCATTCGATTCAAAAGATTTCAATTCTTCATTCACTAACTTTAGCTAATCCCTCTTTTCCTTCAGCTCGGTCATCTGGGCCTGAAGAACCAAGATCTCTTCACAAATTTTGGAAACCTTGGTGTCTAAGCGCTTATTTTTCTCCAAAGCTATCATATGGTTATAATTTGTTTTCTTCATGGTTGTCTTTCTGAACAATTTGAGCGTAGACCTCATGAACTAATTGGAGACCCAAAGAAAACGAAATACTTAGAACTCTAAGAACCACAAGAAAGAATCCAGCCACAGAAATAAATGCACTTACAAGAACCATAGACTGAAGAGCACATCGAGAGATTTCATCATCTGTCATTGCCTTATTGGAATGTATGATCCCCTGGCTATTCCAACCACTGTATTCATATAGGCAAAGATTGAATCCCTCATAGTGATTTCCTTTCCCTTAGCTCTTAAGATAGGACAAAAGATAAAAACTTCTTCAGTAGCATTAGAGGCACTAACTTCTATAACCATCATCTTCTTTGCGTTTTGTTTTCGCCACGTAGAAGGCTCTGAGGAAGAATCATCATTTTGATCCCTAGAGCTAAAGGGGAATCTATGTCGGCATCTAGAATATTAATATCCTTGGACTTGGGCAATTCCGGAGTAATTATTGAATCATCAGCCAGGTCAATCACCGACTCAGTCTCGGCCGTGGTCTGCTAATGGACATCAATGGAAAGAGATTCTTGGGTTTGCGTAGGAGGCAAAATACTCAAATTTAAAGATGGAATAGTAAGAACAAATGGGACAGCTAAAGAAGGCGAAATGATTAGAACGATTTTTAAAGCATTTGACGAGTTGAGGACAAGATCAACAAAGTTCTTCATAAGATGAGATCAGCCAGTTCCCAATTTCTGGCGGGACCTCGAGGCAAAATATCCTAAGGATTCTACTACTTCTTGGTCATTTACCAGAGTAGCATTTGGACGGTCAAGTATAATAGTGAAGTATAGGTTGGTGTATGGCCAAGAAAGACGTGGGCAGCTCTGCAGAAGGGATTCTCACTGAAAGAAAACACTTTTTCCAGATCATCCATCCTTACTGACCTCTCAAGGACCTTGCCTTTCACGGTTTCACCTACAAAAAAAACTAAGAAAAGGAAGAGAAAAGGTAGGAGTAAAGGGAATCAGGGCCAACAAGTACCTGGAGCACCTTCCCTGTATGAGCACCTATATTGTTGCTCCATACTAGCACCACACTCCTAGTTGCCACTGACAAATATAATATTATTTTCAGGATTTTTGTTGGAGTCTAGCAAGTGAGTGACAAGATAACGATCCCTCTTCCTCACAACAAAGTAATTGTTGTTGCGGATGAAATTTTCCCAAAAAAAAAAATGCATAGTAGGCAAGGAACAAAATATCGTGTCGAAACGTCTGAAGCGTTTCAGAAATTCAACACACCGACATAAAACAAGGGTTGAATCCCAAAATTCTAATGTTTTGATCGAAACGTCACTGTGTCGGACCATTTTTATCGAAACAGTACCGGTTTGACAAAACAGTACTGTGATTCGCTTCACTTTAGGCCAAAAGAAAAAAAAGGAAACTTTGAAAAAGTTAAGATTCCACTAATTAAATCTTAGAATTCACAGGTCTTCCAAGCCAGAAAAAAGGGGAAAAACAGACATTACATGTATTTCAAATTTTCTCAGAAATCACATGTCCAGATTCAGCAGTTTAGGTCTTCCAAGCAAAAAAAATAAATAGAGAGAAGAAAGAGAGAAAGGCACACCTAGACTTCCAGACGAAATCGAAGAGATAAAGAGAAAGAAAGACACATACAAACTATAAACTAGAAATTGAAGGAGAAGACTTCAGTAACTTACCTCCTTGAGTCTAGATGTGAGCAGATCCAACCATTTTTCATGCATATCTAGGGCTTGAGAGTTGGGAGTCTCGTCTTCATCGCTACGAGTTGCGACCACGAGGTATCAGGTATTAGCCATCAGATATGTTCTTCTTCTCTCTCTCTGGCACCGGCATCGACCATCGCTATTGCCTCTCGCCTTTTCTTTGTCTCTGTCTATGTTCCTTCGCGGGTCATGAGACTCACGAATGTGCAGAGTACCTTTTATATTTTTTTGGTTATAAGTATGAATAATTATATTTAATACCCAACTCCTTATAACTTTTTACTTTTAAGTATAAATAAGTACCATTAATTAATTTGATACCCTTCATTATTATTATTATTATTTTTGTTATAAGTATGAACAATTACATTTAATACCTCACTCTTTATAATTTTTTACTTTTAAGCATACATAAGTACCATTAATTTAATTTGATACTCTTCAGTATTATTATTCTTTTTTCTTTGTTAATAAGTAAGAACAATTACATTTAATACTCCACTGCATTATAACTTTTTACTTTTAAGTTACATAAGTATCATTAATTTAATTTGATACCCTTCATTATTATTATTTTTTTGTTATAAGTATGAACAATTACATTTAATACCCCACAATATTATAACTTTTTACTTTTAAGTATACATAAGTACCATTAATTTAACTTTTTTTTTGTTCTGCTCGATACTCCACATTGAGATGGATGTAATAATGTAAATATGTATACATTAACATTTCATGTGTATTATGAAACCTTAACATTATGTAAAAATGTGTTTATTTAATAAAAATTAAGTGTTTAAAACTAATTGAAGTGATTTTTATCTCATGTCGAATATTTTTTTCCCTCTAATTTAAATTTATTATTGTATAAATAGATGTTAACCTAATAAATATGTTGAATTAATTAATTATTTAACTTATCTTTATAAATAAATAAATTATATTTATATTTCTATGTATTTTCATAATTTTTTTGTACTTTCATTATGTTTTTAAAATATTTTTAAAATTTTTTTATTTTTGAGTTAACCGAATCGATATTTGGATCCTAGGGCACTCACCTTTTATTTGCTGCAACAGTAAATCGATTTCATTTTACAGTACTCTGGCCTTAATGATCGGATCTTCTGTTCAAGCATAGCTACAACAATGGAAGAAGGCGAAGCTATCTCAAGTCTTAACAACATTACCCCCTCCACCACGCCCAAAACCCTAGATCCAATCGCCCAAAGCAAACACGCCGCACTGCTCGAACGCCTATCCAAGAAATCCCATACTCGCCAATCCAATCCCGACAACTCACCATCGTCATTGTCAAACCCTCCATTCGAATCCACCCAGTCCTTCCTCTCTCTCTTCTCCCAATCCAAACTCTCCATCGAGTCCCACCTATCCCGCATCCACCAAACCCCACACCCCCACTCCAATCCTCAACTCAAGTCTGATCTCCAGAACGTTTCTATGTCCATCTCTGATCTTGAAAAGCTTGTCGCCGAGAAATCATACTTCTTGCCCTCCTACGAAGTCCGGTCTTGCCTCAAAACTGTCTCCGACCTCAAACAAACCCTCGATAACGTCACTTCCGATGTTGTCCCGAAGAAGAAATTCGGTTTCAAAAACAAATCAACGAAAAAAGATATAAGCTTGAGCAATGCGGTAGAGAAAACCCAAATTGGGAACCCAATTGTTGAGTCAGAAAACACGGGTTCTAGGGTTTGGGATTCGCCGGGATTTAAGGTTAAAGAAAATGAGGTTTTGGTGAAGCAATTTGAGGTTGGTTCAGAGGAAGTTGGGGAGTTTACGCTTTCGGATTTGAGGGGTTGTGAGGTGAGATTGATGGGTTGTTTGAGGGCATTGTTTGTGAACAAGTTGAGGGATTGTAGGGTTTACGTAGGTCCTGTTTTGGGTTCCGTTTTGATTGAGGAAGTGGAGGGTTGTGTGTTTGTGTTGGCGTCGCATCAAATAAGGATTCATCACGCTAGGGGATGTGATTTTTACCTGAGAGTGAGGAGTAGGCCGATAATCGAGGATAGTAGTGGGGTCAGATTTGCTCCATATTGTTTGAGGTATGATGGCATTGAGAGAGATCTTGGAGAGGCGAATATCGGTGAGGAGACGGGGAATTGGGCCAATGTGGATGATTTCCGGTGGTTGAGAGCTGTGCAGTCTCCGAACTGGTCGGTTTTACCGGACTGTGAACGTGTTGGCACTGTTGCTATACAGAGTTTGGAAAGTTGAATTCTTGATGAGCAATCTCAGTATTTGATCATTGCATTGAGTATAAAAGAGGTAATTTTTTTTGTTGCATTTGGTTCTGTATTGGAATCAACTGTCATATTGAAGTATTCAGAATTCAATTTACATCCTTTTGATCTTACAGGATGATTTTTATTTTCCTCCGTTGCTATAGGCCAAACGACAGTTCACGTATGCCTTTGATATCCCTCATTTTGAAGGTTATGTTTTGAGCTAAACTTCAGTATCTTGTCAGGTGGTTGGTCCAAGGGGAGGTTGCACCGACAATTTGTGAAATGGTGGAAGGGTTGTTAGCCATAAGGCATGTATCTTATCATATGCTGTTGTTTTAAGTGGTTCGAGTTTCATTTGCTCTAAGAATGTCTTTGAAAATATGTTATGTTTTTTGGGGATAAGAAACAAAACTTTGTTTTTGTTTAATTGCCTCTAGAATTCTTTATGTTGTTTCATCTATGTTTCTTAACAGAGTGCTCTCATTTGGAAAATTGTACAACAATTTTGAGTATCGTCAATGTTTGAAAAGAGTATAGAATCACCATGATCGGGTTTTTTCAGTTGGAATGACCACACAGTTTGTGTTGAGATATGTCTTGAATTGAAGGGAATCAATAAATGGCCAAAGAGAGTGTATGGACATAGGTAATGGGGAGATTCATGAAGGCCTATGAATTGAATAAGAGACTTGCTTGTCCTCGTTGAAGGAATGATGCATAAGTAGTTCCTATAGTATTCGTGGATTCAAGGGGAAATGTTGTCTCTCATTGATCTCCTGTTTAAGTTATTTCGTTGATCAAGCATTCTTTTTTTAGAGTCAAATTGATACCATAACCAATTTTAGTGGCGTACAATTTTTTCATCTGGGGCCTAGATTGTCCTCCCTCACTCCCAAAACAACAGATGTTCTATTATGATTGATTAATGTTTTTGGGCCAAACTTTATGTTTGTAGTTGATTTTTTTCCAGGTGACTGTACTGCTCCTTACCCCCTTATTGTTGGTTATCTAGAAATTTATTTGGGTCTTCTCCTGTTGTTCTCTATATTTTGGTGCTGCTACTCCTCTGGCCTCCAAATAAGAGCTACTATGAATTTCAAGTTTGTTTTGCGGTCAACACTATATCGCAGCCTCCAAAGCCTGGATACTTCGACATTGGGATTGTGTTCTATTGGATGATGATACTCCTTGGATAGTAGTAATGTACCAAAAGTATATTTTTGAAGTCCTGGAGAGGAAGATGCATCTCGGGTTGACGTATAGTGCGACTTGTTAGAAATATTACTGTCATTGGGGATTTCCCTGTTATCTCCCCTGATTGAGATATCCTTGGCTTCGCCCAACAAAGATTAATTAAATCATCGGGGAGATTTGTTTGGTACTTACTGAAAAAATTTATATTTTTGCAGTTGATTTTCAAAATATTGCAATTGGATCATGTCTCCGACATACTTGGATGAGGTTAGCACTTTACGGTTTTGGGGTAATCCGTGCAACATTTCCTCATGTACTCGTTCAAATTTTACTTGAAGTAGAAGTTTAGCATGTAAAATATATGATTCACTAGAAATGTGAGTATGATGATAACTAGTTATTTTTGCTATGTACAGACGCCCAACCCACACAAAATGTACAACACTAATCTTGGCTGATAGTTGACCATCTTAGTGATCAAAATAATAAACAATCCAACATGACACGATATGAATATGACACAATATGGTTCGATTGACATCTTTACTTTTTATTATGTATGCACTTGAGTGCTCAACTTCGCCCCAAAAAATGAACTAACTAGGGGCCTGATGCAAAGAGAGGTCTTCCAGGTAACGAGAGTGAAAAATAACTCGACCCAAACACAAGAAGACAGGTAAAGTGGCGGGATAATGGTACCAAAGTTGGTGTCAATGAGAACCCAGACAAGTTTCGTGTATGATAGTCTAATCAGAATTAAGTATAAATTCCCTTGCTTTGGAAAAGTAATAGAGAAAAAAATATATCTCTGCTGAATCTTAGGGTCCCCAACGCGGAAGGCAAATATGATTTCCAAATCTCGTGACAAATGGTACACTGAGTAGACATGACAAATCCTTCAACCACCACCACATTCACATTGTGGAACAAGTATCTTAATCTGTCACGAACCCCTATCAAAGAAAAAAAAAACATTCGACATTGTATTGATAACAATCATGAATATGTTTTTTTTTTTTTTTTCAATATTTGACAAACTTTTACAAAGTAAACTTGGGTACTTGTAACTATCTATTAATTACAAGCACTAGTTTAATTTCAAAAGTCACCAAAAAGAGTCGAATTTAAGATTACACCGTTGGACTTGAAGATGCCATCTTTTTCCTGGAAAGTTTCCACCGTCCCTGGAGCTGGCAGTACAGATAAAGAAGCCAGGTTCAAACGCATGAAGACAATTAACTATTCAGCAATATTGACCTTTACTGGCAGTGTTATTGGACTTTTTAGATGGGGGTGTTGCCAGCTTTACACTACTAGCTCTTAATAAAATAACCCTATTGTTGAATTCATTGGCATCAACACCCTCAAATTGTGAACTAATTTGGGCTCATACAAGATGAAATCAAAGATTCTCCTGACTGTGTTACAAAGTATTCATTATTAAACAGGGGATGGATTGATATCTAGGTCAGCAGAGGATATCTGATCTAATCTGGAGTGGTTTTCATAGCACTTTTGTCAAAGTTGGGGTTGGTAGTAGAAACCTGTACCTCTGAAAATAATAGGTAGGTGGCATGTCTCAAGAAAAAAATTGCATATAAGGATAATTTTCACCCTTTTGTTCAAAGGGGATATTAGTATTTCAATCTAAGCAGAGTGTTCTCAGCTAGTCTCTATTAAAATTTTATTTTATTTTTTTCAGTACTCAAATTTGGTTTTCTTTTATTGAGAGTGTGTGAGGATAAACTGAGTACATACCTAAAGTGACTATGTTTAAATTCGAATTCGAAACTTTATGGTTGTTTGCTTGACACACTTACAACAATTGCACAAAGTAAATGGTCCTATTAAATAAGGACCAAACCATTTTACACTACACTTTCAATACTCTTTTCTTCTATTTTCTTTCTTCGAAAATTATCTACCATTTTTGAGTGAGACACCCAATTGTATATAATGGATCCAATTTGAATTCATAGTATGCGATTCACCGAAAAAAAAATATTGAAGTAAATCTCATTCTGTCTTCTGTTATGCTCAATTGCACTATTAATGAGAACCTTTGACTTGATTTCTCATACTACATCTAACCGATTTTGAACATGGAAGTATCCTCTCTCTCTCTCCCCATAAAGGGCCCATGTTACATTGCAGCCGCTCTCTCTTTAGAGTGCCCCTGTCTGCTGTAACCCTCTCTTTCACACTCCCGGCCACAAATATTCAGAGGCAGGACGACTGGGTAGCAGTAAGACATAATCCAACATAAAAGGTACGCTATATCCTCTTATATTCTGTTATTTCATGATATTTAATGACTAGTGTTGAGTTTTTTTCCATGTTAATTGCAACCAAACTACAAATATAAAGCAAAGATTCTTTACCAAATCATGGTTTTTCACACCAATTAAGTGCATAATGACCTTAATTTCCATGAACTTTTCTTGCATCTGCAGGTATTAAGCCTGCTTGCATGTATAATATTTTATGTGCATATTTGGGTGTATTGTCTGCAAGTTGAACTAGCTACATATTCTACTTCTTTTCATTCTTCAACACTTATCTTTTGGGATTGTGATCCAAGATGCTAGCTCATTAGGAATGGGTATGACTTTGCATTTGTGTCAGAATTGCTTAACTATTACCCAACCCATATATAACCGTGTTTGTATGGCGGAGTCAGAGATTTACCGTGAAAAGGACGGGGAGGTGGACGAGGATTGGCGGATCTTAACTATAATAAGATAAAAAAATTAGACTAAAAATAAATACAATAGCTTAAATAATGATTAGTAACACTTTTACTATTAGTTTTGATAATGTCATTATCAATACAATTAAAGATGTTCATCTTTATATATTCAACAGTGTGAGAGAGGACTAGAGAGAGAGAAAAGGGTGGGGGGGGGGGAGGACAACTAGCTTCACAAAGAATTTTTGAAAGCATGTTGAGGGGACTCAACTAACTAAATATTATTAAAGTTTAACCTAAATGTTAAAGATGATTAAGTGGATGTTTGGTTCTCACCATAGAATGTATGGTTCTGCCACTTGATTCAATGTCTACATATTTAATAAAGGAGTTTGATTGGTGAACTAAAAAAAAATAAATGTATACTTTGTACTTTCCTTCGAATTTCATGTTGAGTTAATGAACCGAATTAGGAATACCAGTGTCATAATGCTAGTCACTCTCGTATCTTGAAGGGATTAGGATACATAATATGCAGTTGTTTAGCTGCATTGCCTGACTCTGGACATTTCCAATTAATCAGAACTTAGGTGCTATATAGGGCGTTTAAACGAATATGCTGCTGTTGTGGGTAGTGTTTACTTGATCATCTCAATTATTCTTCTTTTTTGTTGAAGCAAGTTACTTGGGTTCTACTTGATATTGTTTTGTATGATAAATGAATTAAGTTCGAACACAATTTTTAAGATCATTAGTGTTTTTTTAGCTTGGGTTGAACTTAGTTCAATAAACTATCTAGCTTCTAAGAACTATATAATAAAACACGCTATTTGAGCTTAGCTTGATGAATAGTCGTTTAAAAGTTGTTAATAAAATAAATCACTTCAATCTCGAACGTAATACAATGTTTATTTCAATTTTGTACTAAGTATGACCAAATTACAACTTGGGAGAGAGAGAGCCCAAAATCTTGCGTGGTCATCAAAAATAAAATGACATTTTTTTTATGTTGACATGAATTTTTTTTTTTTTTGCTATTATATAGACTTAAACTACTTTTTAGCCGATGAGAAATTTATAAGTGGGAGGTTTTGGTGGGGAAATAATGAGATCTTAGTACTAGATTTTTAATTCACAAGTTACTAGTCAACTCAATCATGACACTATAATTAATAGATTGACTTTAGATTAAATAATAATTGACACGAATATAAAATGACACGACAATAACACGACTAGATGGACGGCCCTAATAAAAATTCATAAAATACAGCATGAGAGAGAGTTGGCATACATTTTGCTATCGTCAGCTCGTCTCGTTTGTACTGCTTTGTGTTTGGGCATGCTCAACTATCCTCTCCACAAGATAATACTTGAGTTTTTTGAAAGCCGGTACACCTAATTAGACTTAGTTGACAAAAAACATATACAACAAAATGTGGGTTAAAAAGACATAAATGTCCATTTTAGGTTCATTTAATTCAAAATCTCTTATCTTTAATGCACCTTGATTCATGTGTGTTTGTTAATACATATAAATACGTATTTAATGCACCTTGATATATATGTATTTGTTAATACATATATATATATATATGTGTGTGTGTGTGTGTGTGTGTGTGTGTGTCTATATATATGTATATACGAATATATATACTTATTTACACACACACACACACACACATATATATATATATATTTGTTATTAAATCTCTTATTTAAATTTTGAATTTTCTTTAATGCACCTTGATTCATGTGTATTTTTTTTTGAAAAATGATTTTGTTTTCAAATTATATTTAATGCACCTTGATTCAAACGTTTTTTTTTTGAAAAATAGTTTTATTTTTAAATTAATTTAATATTTGAATAATGTAATATTATAACAATAATAGTGTAACAAAAACACTGTAACAAAGACAGTGTAACAAATACACAGTAATAAAAATAGTGTTCAGTAGTTTTGTGTATATGGTAACAAATTCAAAACGAAGATGAACTCTTTTGAATGAAATTATATGAAACTATATGTTGGACAAAATATAATAGTACAATATTTTTGTGTAAATAGCTTGTTATACTATTATTGTTATACTGTTACATTGTTAGTGTTACACTTTTACACTTTTATTGTTACACTGTTATTGTTACACTATTACACTATTCAGATATTAAATTAATTTAAAAATAAAATCACTTTCTAAAAAAAATAAATGCATGAATCAAGGTGCATTAAAAAATAATTCAAAATTTAAATAAGATATACATACATACATACATAAGTATATATATATATATATATGTATTAAAGTTCTCCCCTAAAATTAGGAGATGTTTAATGCACCACTTTTCAAAGAAAAGTGGTGCATTAAATACATATGGATTAATGGAGGCAAAAATGTCACAATAAAAATAGATAAATTCAAATTATGTACTTGGATACAAATAAGTATCAAAATTAAGTACTTAATAACCTTATATTTTTTAGTGTGTATTTTTTGTCAAATAAGTTTAATTTGGTGTACCCCTTACAATTTATCCATAAAACTTTAGACAATTTGGGCATGACTTAATAATTATATGTTTGGGCCTAACTGCTTAACCCAAGTGTGGTCTAGACTTACATCCATTGTAGGAAACGAATAGACAACGACATGTTTGGTTTTGGTGACACGACTCAT